GAAGGATGGATTTGAAAGACATTCTTTGGGTGTCTGTAACATTCATTTGCTTGGTATGCTGTGTTATTTTTTTTTTTTTTTTTACTGCACCAAAACAAAGAATCTGTACTTATACTGAATATTCTCTATGATTTCGTCAGTATTTTAATAAATTGTCCTTTGTGATTACCCAACATTCCAGTCATTTTTAGAAGTCAAACATGTTGTATTTTACTGTAAATATCCCGTAACAGAAATGTGTAAGATATCTACCTAAATATTTATTTATTTGAAATACTATTCATGTATATCAGTACCGTATATATATATATATATATATATATATATATATAGGAAGGTATAGTCGATTATTCCAGGTGAGAGTGCTCAATACTAAACTATGTATATTAATATATCTGGTATAGGAATATCATTGATAATTACATACATTCACTCAGTTTACATATCATTTCTAACTAGTTGTGTTTGATATTATACAATATATATCTATATGTGTGCAATATACAAAATTTGAATGATAACAACTGCACATTAGAGTCATTGTGTTTATTTAATGATTACTATTTGTTGTATATCTGGCTGTCCAAACTGCTGAACAAAGATAACAAGTGGTCAGTTCAATTTATGATGTTCCTCATCCAATTCTATACTTTTGTTTTGTGGCATAAGAACTTGTTTTGCCTGTGCAATACATGTTCCTCCATCCAAGGCTAAACATGGTATTATTTTCGGCCAATAATTTATACTACATTCGGCGAGGAGTACCGTAAAATCTGTATCAGAAACCATATCTCTTAAATATAAGTTGCATTTATTCTTTTCAAACAATTGAAAACAAATATTCACCATTTCTCATACATGCTCTAATAGAAGCTACATCCCCTTCTGTTGCATTGTACCATTTTAATAGAAGCCGCAGCTTCTAATACAGATTTTTGATTCTGTTTGAAATAAGGCTCCATCAGTCTATGCTTTATATACATCTACAGGGAGTAAGAACTGTTTAAAATAAGATTTATTGTTTGATTGTAATAAAATTAATGTATTTTCTACATTCAGTGTCGCTAATAGAACATTAGCCATATTGCCAAATGGATATTGATTATATATAATGACATTACGACTGTCAAGCCATTAATATCTACTAGGTCCATGAGTTGGAGAAGTTTCTTTACCTTGTGATTTATATATTACCAAAGCTGTAGATATTGAACAGTTAATACAGTTTCAGTGTGTACAACACACTTTTAAAACTTAGAAATGTTTTTTCTATTGTCTATACATGTTATTGTGATGGCGCCCTCTATAGGTTAAAGTGATTAAATTTTTGTGAACTAAATTAGTTTGCAAATGTCAATAAATTTTATATTTTAAGATGTTCAATTATTATTTGTAAACCTACATAAGGTTGTATGTTGATGTTTCAAACATAATTATTAGGTTTTTAACTCACAGTTTTGTGAAATTTTCATTGAAAAATTACAACATTAAGTTTTTGACATACAGTATACTGTGTTTTTCGCAAATTTAGCGAGAGAACTGATTTGCTAATTCTAGATGTCGCTAATGACTTTATTATCAATTCAAAATGGCCGCCAAACAAAGAAATCAACAATGACAAGAGAGATTCGCTAAATCAACATTTCGCTATTACGGTACATCATTTTACCACAATTCGCTAAAATTGCATGCCGCTTTTTCAACATGTTTTACAGTATGTAATTCTGAAAGACATGTAGTATCAACATATGACAGGTACTAGTAACTATTGATGTCTGTCCTAAAAAGGGGGTTGGGTTCCATTTATTATATAATATTATATTTACATGGGTTTAAAAGTATTGTGGTTCATTCTCATGTGAAATAACAAATGCTGAACATTTAGATATTTCATTTTCTGTCTCTGTGTGTATATACTAGTACTAGTATTTGTTGTTCCAGTTTATTATACTGCCCTCTTCAGTGTCTGAGTCACAGAGACTGGAACGGAGTCCACTCATTCTAATGCTTGGTGAAGTATTTGGAAATTATACATTTTAAAATTTTAAAATAACACAGGAAAATCCAAAGTTGTTCATGAAACCTAATAAACTCTGTCAAGTGGCCAAATACATTATTTTTCTCGATGAATTTGCATGCATTTTGCTAATGTAAAGTTGTGTTGTGCTGCAAATTTTTTTTTTTTGATTTACCGGTAAGATTAATCAGACTATATTACCAGTAGCCTGAAAATGGCATCATGTCACTTAGAAACTAGTTCTAAATTCACCATTAGGCAGTAGGTAGATTTTGTAAAACTCAGTTCACTCATAGAGGCTTACAATTTCAACCTTTTTAGCCCCTGACTGGACATAGTCCAGAGCTCACGGATCAGTTTCCATCTCTCACAGTATCCTAGACCAATTTTCCCCCAAATTGGCACATTTGCCCCATTATTTTTCAATTCAGATAACAAAATGGCTGACTGGTGGCCATATTTGACCCAAAAATAGTTGAAAAACCTTCATTTTTATATGTGTATAGCTTTATCTGTGAGTTGTGCTGGCTGATTCTGTTCAAACTTTGAACACCTGTTGGCATGGCACATCCATTATTTTTCAGATTTTTGTTTTAAAGTGGCGGCCATTTTGTTTGTCAAAGATCTTTATTTTTGTTAATGTAATTCGTTTGTCATATATATTAAAGTACAAAAACGGAGGGCTTGTTTTTTGTTTTTTTTATGGCGACACTCCCACAAGAATGTCACACTACCAAGGACTATTAAAGTTATAAATCTCTTGTGTAGTCCGATTGTAATCAAGGGCAACAAAGTTCAAAGCATATTAACCACTGTGTTTTAACAAACAATCGCATTTATCTTGTTGATATTCAAATGAATACATTTTAAATTTATAGAATGTATATTGTAGTCTGTGGTAATATATGAGGTGGTGTTGCTATGGTAATCATTTCAATTTTTGCTGCTTTTTTAGAAAATCTAACTGTGCGACATGTGCAGGCTTTCATTACACAAGAGTACATTTTTTATAAAACATTTTCTCATTTTGTGAAAACTCCTTGTTTTTAAAAAAAATAAAATCTTAATATATGTATTATTGTGTGTGACCCACCAAATCATTACTGTGTCCTTGACCGCATTCCAATTTTTAATTTATTGTTGTCATATCTAGACTTTTATCATTTCATATATAATTTGAATTTATATCTTTCAATATAATTCAAATTTATAAAATGTGTATTGAGGATCATATATTTATCTGCGCGAAATATGTATGTGTTGCTATGGTAACCATTTCAACATTGTCAACCTCGAAAAATTTTAGAAAAAAATAGTTTGTAAAACAGAAATAAACTGTTGTAACAAACTAACTTTGTTGCCGTTGTCAAGTTTTTCGGAACAATAACAATCCAGTAAGGGGTGTGACAAAACACATGTTCACTGTAATCTATCAATGTGTTCTTGACATTATTTTCCATGTGTTCTTGACCTCATTGCAATTTATTGTTTTATTTATTGTCATTTGTTAAACAAGGTTTATCAGCCACCTATTTACTACTTTATACTAAAATATGTTTGAATATTTAGAGTACTAACAAATTCCCACTTCCGGTCCGGTTAGACTTAAAATACACCACGAATATTTACATTTGAGATATAATTTTTGGTATGTGTTGATTTTTTGATATTTTATCTTTGTTGTCCTGTACTACGTTTAGTAATTCGAACGTCACAGTTTGCATAAAAAGGGTGAGTTTTGCTGAGGAACGAACGCTTAGGTACGTGCTCTGTAACTTGCAGCACATGAACCTAAAAACATTAAGTAATCAAATTCACAAGAAGTTGACTATCCCTGATATGGGTATTGATAAATCACCAGCTGTGAACTTTATCAGGGTTCCCATATGAAGTTACACATCATTCTAGCAAGGAAAAATATTATTTACTTTTGTGCAGGTTATATAATAAAATAAAATAATTAATATTTCATTTTTGTTAGTGTATCTTTATTTTTATTTATTAAAATATGTACACATTATATCTAATTGGGGTGGGAATTGCCAAACCAATTTATAAAATTATATACAAATATTTTCGTAAATAACACTGACCGTGAAATACACCCTTGAGAAGTGTTACTGATGGAATATTTTATATTGCAATTTCTTTCAATTTTAATTAGTTGTATTGCAATGCATTAGTAAAAATGTAAATATATATATATATATATATATATATATATATATATATATATATATATATATATATATATATACATTTCTTTATTTGTTGAGACTGAGTTATTTGTTACGTACTATAATTTATCTATATTAAATAACAATATTCAACTATCCTTTGCAACACCAATAAGATCATAATGGTAATGTTTCTTGGTCTTTGAAACTATGGGCATTATCAGAGCATGAGTCTTATTTTGGAACGCCTGCCTTCTAAGGATGGTATTCTCAGAATAGCGCAAGTTGTCAAAGTAACATAAAACTTTAATTCTCAACAACGATGAAAGGCCAGTTACTGCAACAAAGCCCAACTCTCCACGAGAGCCACCCAATACGAAACCCACTTACCGCAAAAGCCACTTACCGCGAAGCTGCTAGTGTGTGTCTGTAAATATTGTATTCTAGTTTCCATTAAAATAAATATGTTTTTCGTTATTCTATATCTTTTGATTGATAATGCATGTGGTGGTTCAGTGGGTTTTAATAATTCAGTTGGAAGCATGGTTTTCTAGTTGCTTACTTACTTACTTATGCTTATATGTGACCTGGTTTTGCACCGAATCTGACATTATAATGGCGAATTTCTGATTGCGTAGGTGTCATGTCAAAAAGTCGCAAAAATGTCGAATATTGCCCTGGAACAGCATTAATTAAAGCAAAATGGTGACTGGTCGGCCATTTTGAATACATCTGTATGTCTATCACATGATATATATATATTGAATATATAAAATTTGAACATAATCAGTCAAGGCATGTCAGAGATATGGCTCTAGAACTGCATTTATTAAAACAAAATGGCCACCAGTCAGTCATTATGAATCCGGTCTGAAAATGACGTGCATGTAAGACCAATAATATCTAATGTATGTACACTTTGAACGAAATCCATTCATAAACGACGGAGATCCAGTTTCGGAATGCCAGAAATGCTTGATTTGTGATGATTTTGTAGCACAAAAATGGCCACCTTTCGGCCATTTTGAATTGGATTGTCAAATCAATGAATAAATCTGTATATCTATGACATGATGTATGTAATATTTAAACATAATCAGTCAAAGCATATCAGAGATAGGGCAATAAAACCGCATTCATTTAACTATCCTGAACCAGATCGTGAAACTAATTGATGTGCAAATTATGTATGATATATGTTTGAAGTTTGAATGTAATCGGTCCAGGAATTAATAGGCTCGGGCGCACGAATGCACAGACGCACGCACAGATGTCAATCCATAACTTTTTTTCCATGCCTTATCTACACATGTTCGTGACGGCACCCTCTATAGGTTGCAGTTATTATTATTAGTGGTCTGAGCTTTAACATACGTAGTAAAATAAGTGATGGTCTGCATGGAATCTGTAGCTTCGGCGACTCCGTTATTACCAGCCCTTGATTTTATGCACAAATAGAGTTGTCATAGTGCGAGTCTGTCGATTTTGTGAAACTACTTAAATAAAAATAGGTCGCTTTACAGTTTTTTTATGGCGACACCCCACAAGTATGTCACGCCACCAGTGATTGTAAGTTATAAATCTCTTGTCTG